GGCTAGAGGCAGACCACATGGACTTATTTTGGCAACGGCAGCAGAGAGCAGGCTGTTGCTTGGAAGAAAGAGAGGATATAACTTACAGATATGGTCTGGGAAGCATATATGTCTATATGCTTTGGATATAAAGCAGTATGGGTGGAAAAAAAAGTCTAAAGAGTAACAGTTAGCAATGACTCACACTCACTCTATGAAGATATCCCAAAAGCAACGTTCTGCAAAGGTCTAACAAAAATATTGAGTAATACCAGACTCAGGATAACTACTTATATAATGAATCAGAGCGCACAATGTTAATATTATTAACTGACAGGAGCTGGGAGAAAGTGCCAAGAATTTGGAAGGCAAGGTTAGAAAGCCAAAATAAGTTTGACAAGTTAGAGAAGTACCCTGAAATCAGTATGAATGAAGCTGCATTGCTATTTTTAGGAAAGATACTCCTGACCCATCCCCAGTTTGTCTGTAAAGAAGCTAAAAAGCACAAGAGGATGAGCAAACATGACCTGTGATGAAATTAGGTCCATTTAGTCTAGAAAAGACTGCTGACTGGGAACATCAAGAAAATGGCTGTGTTCAATTTCTCCATTTGTGGAAGAAAACACAGAAATTATGTTTAAAATGCAGTGATGGAGACTTTTGCTTAGATATTTAATTAAATTTGTATATTACAGAAGTTAAACATGACAGTAGACAGCCTAGAAAGCCTGGAGTCTGCATAACAGACTTTCAAGAAAGGGTGATCTGATTTGTATCAGGAATGACCCAAGCCTAATTGATCTTCCTCAGAATTGAAGACATTTCTCAGAATAGAAGACAGGTTGGTATTTTTCAACATTTCTACATTTCTATAGCCAGAAGTTCAGAAAGACACTTGAAACATTTCACCAAATTCCTACAAGGAAAGCCAACATCAGATGTTATAACATGTTCCTTTCCTTATTTCTTCCTAAGGAGAATGTGCTCAAGAGAAACCTTTCTTCACAACGTTCTTCTGTTGTTGTTGTTTAGCCTCAGCACGAGCCTCCAGACTACGCTGGCAAGCAAGAGGAAGATACTACCACTACAATACCACCGCAACTAAATACTACTACTATACTACTAAATAATAATTCCCACTCTTCTTTTACACCTGAGCTAACACAGGGAATACTTCCATGATGCAACACACATCTAAAAGAGTTACCCTTTTCTTCACTGTAAACGAACAGTTCTTTCCCAATCCGTGACTGTTGTATTAGACACAGCAATTCTAAACCACAAAGATCATACCGTCTTTGCTGCTTTTTTTTTTTTTTTTTAAAAACACTACTGGATTGTTGATAGTTAACCTACTTTTAGGAAGAGGAGAGGTTTCAGACCCAAATTCGCAACATCACCAAGAAGCTCTTAGGTTGAGAAACTAGCTGTTGCCGGATAACAAGCTTGTATCATAGCAATACGAAACAATAGCTGCAGAGTAGCTACAGTACTTTGTGTCCTGCTGAGTGGGGCACTCAGAAAAGATACTAAAGAGCTGAATTTATCATACTGTGTAATAAGAGTAAGAAAAGAGAGGATACAAAACATTGAAAGAACAGCATGGCAGGAGACCATGCTTCAGTGAGCTTTCCAAAGTACGTACTTCTAGCACAGCTGCAGTAAGATTCCACATTTCTGGTTGAATGTTCAGAAGATATTTTAATATTACCCAAGACAACTTCTACTGAAATTAAACTTCAGTGGAAGAAGAGGGTTTCGGTTTTTTTTAAATTCTCACATTAATTAACATCATACCAGTACTAAACATCATACCAGTACTAAAGAGTCATCAACAAAATCTAGAAAGGGGAATCCACCTACCAAGCATTTCCAAGGTCAGGTACAACAGAGCACTCTGAGTGTTCTCAGCATACGTTTCAAGTTCCTGGATGTTATTGTACGCTCTGTCATCCAAATTCTTCTCCTACAATTTGAACACAGAACTTCGATAAAAACTTTGAGTAAAAGGTAAGTACTTGTGCAAATTTATTATTACAATCAGAACAGCCTAACCACTATTAGAAATGAGAACAGAATTAAGGTAACATAGAAAGAGAATATACACACAGGTAGAAACAGTCATTAAAGCTTTTTTAGCGTGTCTAGCATAACCAGCTACATGCAACTGCAACCAAGTCCAGTTACTGGACCATTTTACTTTTTGCAACAAGAATCAGAATTCTTCAGGAAAAAAAAGAGATACGGCCAAAACAAAAATTGTATGGCATTCTTACGCTACTGGGTTGCCAAATCTAATACTTGGTTAGCAACTGAAGCAGGGAAAAACTTAGATAAACAAGAATATATTTTCAAAAAATGCACTAAATTCAATTTCTCAAATACACATATGAGTTGTGAAGTCACATGCAAATACCTCCAAATATATAACACCTTCCATCATTCTTCCTGTCCCAGTGGGTTTCACAGTTAAAATATATCAGTCTTAAGATCAAAAACCTCTGAACAGTCTTTCTAGCAATGACACATAAGTAACTGATCACTAATTTTCTCAAGGCATATCTTCATAAGATACTGCCTGTAGCAGGAAAGCTTGCTTAAGACGCTCCTGCCCCTTGGCTGCTCATTCTTGCCCTTGTGTCACAGCTGGTAGCAGTATCACTGTAGAAGCGAAATTCTTCCTCTCAGCTTTCCTCAAAGCAGTGTAGATATTTTAAAATTCATGTAATTTCAACACTTTGGTTCACAGCACTGCTTAGAAAGAACTTCACAGCCACAATAAGGAGTAGCATCAAAGTGTGGCAAAAAGGTTCAGACGGGGCATTTCATTTTTGAGATTGTTATATCCACAACTCACCACAACAGAAGACTATTTAGGTACAAAATTGGCATGGTAATAGAAAAATATGAGAAAGAATAAAATTATGTAAATGGGTGGAACAGGAATGGAATGACAGAAGAGACTATGTATGGGGGGTGTTATTTTTTTTTAAATGTATGAAAGCATGTTTGAGTTGCACATCTTAATTTTCATTTTTAATAAAATGCATTTTTCCAGAATTCTTAACTGAAAAGCAGTTGCATATGGAGAACTTCTATTTAATCTCATAGGATGAAACTTCCCTCACATACATACAGAAAGATGTCCAAGTATAACTCAAAATGGATTACCTCTGGAGGTAACCATTTCAAATCAGGAATAAAGGCCAGCAAGAGAAAACATGCACACAGATTCATTGGTTACCAGAGCAGGGAACAAAGAAGCAGCAGACTGACAAATTACATCCTTTTTAAAGCAAAAATAAAAGTATTCTACTTGCTATTTTGACCAAAAAGAGCACAAATCACGAATCAGAGCATCAAGGGAGAATTAAAAGGAAACATAACAGTACCATTCTTAAGGAGAAATACGACTGACTGGAAAAGATGAACTACTTAACCTTTAGTTCTATGCACAAACACATAAAACTAAGGGAAAAAATCGTATATGACAAAAAGATAAAATCATACTTTGAATGGCTAATGCTTACTCGTTCATCAATAATCTTCATGATCCACATTTTAGTTAGGTTATGTCTCTTGACGGCCTGAAAATTAAACAAACATGTTAATGTTTAGAAAATGATGGCAGTACTGCATTCTGAAGGCTGAAATATATTTTACATAATCCTTTTCTTACAAGGATTGATTCACTAGGTTAAATCAAAGTGGCAAGTCATTGGAAAAAGAGAATCTTCTTCACATTAAAAAATTTTTATCTGATATTTTTTACAAGGTGTTGCAGACAAAAAATGAAATCTTGACCGTCAAGCCATTTAAACAAACACATTTCTTCAAAAATACTTCTGAAAGCAATTTATTCTGTCATGGAGTCATACTTTCCCACAAAATATTTGCAAATCACTATGTTCGCTTTCCAAAGAGAACAGCTTCCTCCAGAACCAAGCAATAAAAAGAAAGATTCTCCCTGTAAACTTTCAAGAGAACAACGGCAAATTGTACTAGTACACACTGCAAAAACAGCATTTTAACAAAATACAGTTTATGATTTCGCTTTAAAAAAAAGGTATCCTATAGTATCTCATATTTATCTATTTGTCTTCTCACTAGTCTCATATTTGACTTCCTTCCTGCATCACTTCATTCTACCAACTTATCTCTTCAATCCTCTTACACACCCCCCCAAAGTCACTTTGAATTTTGCAGAGCAAACTATCAGTAAAGCTACAATCACACATTTGAATACTTATAAACAAAACCTATGGAGCAGATTTCACAAATTCTTAGCTTTTATGGCTCACTTTTCACTTCTTGTCTATATCCATTACATTTGTAAATATTTGTTAACAGATGATCTCCTGGATTCAACACTTGTTCATCTTAAGCAGTGTTTAGTAAACATAGTCCTTGGAAAAATTCCCACAGAAGGTGAAGAATTAAGCATCAAACTGAGTTCTGCTAAAGCACACATTTTGTACATTATATCTATTTTGCTCTACCTTTGTTCAAACACAGATGTTCTCATTTTTGAAAAATTTTGAAGTTTTGACTTCTTCCACAGAAATTAGTAGACAATTAGGTCTCACTTCTCACATGTTGAAAATAGACAGATAAGTAAGAAAAGGTACCGTACAGTTGCCACCTAAATTCATACTAAAAATCACTGAGCTATTAATAATTCTAGAAATAATAAAAAATAAGTTATTTATATACCCTATACATGAACTAGTGCAGAAAACTCTAGAAATTCAAATTTGAGTATTCTAGGATATATAAAATATTTGGAACATATTTAGCTTGACAAATTAATATTTCTTCTGGAAAATCGAAATTGCTCTTCATACAAACTCAACAGCAAGGATAGAGTATACACACAACATGTTGTGCAGAAGGCATGCTAACTCTATCAACAACTCTGTAGTACCTATGGATTCAGGTGTCTCTTTCCAAATCCTTCTTTTTAAGGATTACAACAATATTATTGATCATCTGTGAAGCTACGCTCCTTAGATAGGCCATTCTTGGGGTATTTGCCGACGTGTAAAAATGAGATCACGTCTTGAGAGCAGAGGTCCCCGGAACAGACTGTGTTATTTGTTTACTTCAGTGCTCTGCAGTGTTCAGAGCTATCAGAGCTCCTAGAAAAAATTTTGGGACTATTTCTCAATACCTTATTTCACAACTACTTCTTTTTGGATTGTCTCATATTGGTCTTCCATCAGACCAATCACATATAAGGTCAGATCTTACCACATAGATAGACCAATTCTTTCTTCCACTTCAAAAATTACTTTTCTGTGTTGGAAGAAAACAGTATGACTGGCAATCTTATCTGTTGGAAGGGTGTGCAATTTATATCTGAATATTGAATTATTTATATCTGAATGAAGTTTGTTACAAGTTACTCATCTGCTAGTAAACACTTCTGCCCCATACGCATGAACACAGAAGCAGTGTGAAATGAAAAGTGATGGAGAGAATATATACAATCATATCCAAAACTAACTTGTATCTAAGTCACTCAGTCAGAAAACTACATGAGAGGATATCTTTGGAAACAAAAATAAGTAAAGCTATACTAAAACAAGTTCCTCCCTGGAAAGGGGACAAAGGCATTTTGGGAGAAGACTGTCTTATTCTTGGGCAGTTTGCCATACGCTGGAAGAGAGATTTAAAAAAGGATATAAAAAGCACAGGCACAGACAGACTAACATGCAAAACTACCAATACTGCAGTCACTTAGTCACTTTGCTGTGGCTAAGGCCACACTTCATCTCAGTTCGATACACCTATGAACAGCTGTGGTCCTCCTATAAGTGACTATTAGATACAGTGCTTCATTTTTCTTCTTGGCTTTGCCTGTGCTTTCTCTTAGTTAAAAGGTATTTTGTTTAATTTCAACTTGAATTTAAATATGAGTGTTGATAGACGGAAACAAATGCTCACTTCATTTCATATCTGAAGGAGGAAGAGTTAGGGAGAGGCCACAGTTTCAGCACTGCTAAAGATCATTCAAAGGGGATTTGGAAAGGGCTCAAACTTGTGGTCTCAGAGGTGCAACAGACAGTGGATACGAGGCCAAGATGGCAACAAATTAAATGCTCTAATCCCCCAGGAACTGGATTGTACTAGCCCACTGTTAACAGTGGGCGTCCTTCTTCTGAGATTTTAACAGGGACAATGCAGATGAATATTTGGATGAAGACTCCACATTTGACTGCCTGTTTTTCAGTCAGGCCCATAAACCAAACTACCTATGGGATCTAAATTAACAACATTCAGCCGTTTAGCTCTAGGCAGATTGCAGTTTTTCATGTCCAGGAGATCAGAAATCCTTAGCTTAAATGCAAATTCTGCTCTTACAAAGCAGAGGCCTTAAGGTGGGTGCTCTTTTTGAGGGTGCTAAGACATGTGGCCTGTGGCCCAAAGATACCAAGTTATGCAATTTCCATCCCTGAAAACATTCAAAATTCAACTGGATATGACCTGAAGTTAGCCCTGCTCTGAGAGGGCCTCCTGAGGTCCCTTCGAACCTACGTTATTCTGTATCGGCACCAAGGGGAAATCCATTTATACTACCGTCAGTCATCCCTTGAACAGGTCAATGGGAGCTCTAGCTAGAAACAAAAAATTTATAAGAAAGCTTCTGCTTCTTCAGCCAAATCCAGCAGAGGTACAGGCCTGCAGGCGTATTTTACCTGTGACATTCTAGCGTCTGCCTCAGCTCACAGACATCTTTGTAAAAATAAACTGAAGGTCACAAGTACCTTCCCTGTTACTCAATACACACAAGAGGATCTACGTTCTGTGCAAAACATGCAACATATAAATAAAAGTCATCAAGTAATTCTCCAGCAAGGAAAAAGGCTCTATGAAAATTCCCCCTATTAACCACCGTAATTAGGCATGAAAGCTTGGGGCTTTTCCTCATACTATTTGTTAGATCAACCTCTGTGCTTAGTGTCCTGTCTTCTTGCAGTACTTAATCTCCTCAGACAGGACTAAAACAGGCTCAGGAAAATTTACTTACACACTTCACTTGCTATCAACTTACAGCTTGCCAGAACTTACTCTGTCCTTCACCTGAAGAGAAGAGAAAAAGGTACTTTGTTCACAAAAGTCTGACCCTCCAAGCAGGTCCTCCCTAAATATCCTTTGCTCTTTGGTTTTGGGTTACTTACAATATCACACACAGATGGACACACAAACACTACCCTTCACATTATCTGTTTTATACCAAATAACGCAGTCAACAATGCAACACAGCATACACAAAACGATGACATTATCATAGCTGCACTTTAGCCAAGTGAGTTTTAGGACAACAAAAATATATTTTACCTTCCACAGCTCTAGAGCAACCGGCTGATGTGGTGGCTTATCACAGTATATATCTTCCACAGTTTCCCTCCAGAATTGCATTCGCATCAGACCTGTACCTTTCTGAGTTATGGAGTCTTTAATCTGAAAAGGTTATATCTGGAGTGAAATTATGGTCTCCTTAAGGCACTTGTCTATCTACGCTGCAAAGACAGACACAGGACACAACCAAATTCAACAGGGAAAGCGCTCAGTTCTGAGTTCACATTTATTCTTCCTAAAGTATTCATACATTACAGAGAGGTTTGGGGGGGGGGGGTCTTCACCAGAACCTTGATTTGAAAGGCATGGAAATTAAGGCCTGCGTGACTCTCACCTCATCTTTCTTTCCAGAAGGATAAGAAGTCATGGTAACAGCAGTGAAGGAGGGCAGCACTAAGGGTTGCTGGAAGCAGTACCAACAGGAGTAGAGGTAGGCTGCTTAGAGGTTTTGCTGGGTCAGCATCTCTCTCAGATTGCTCTTTTCTGGTGAATGTTACCAACTTGTGGTTACAGTGGCAGTCTCTGACCACCTAGCAAAGAGATGGCAGCCCCTCCCCTCTCACATCTCTAATTACAGACTTCCCTCCTGGCAGCTTTTCTATTACCTAGCTTCTGCCAGCAAGGACTTGAGACTGATTACATCACCCAAGTTTTTCATTGACCTTCTACTGATAGGGTTCAGCTGCCCTTGCATTTGAAGCCAGGACACAGATGCAATCACATAACAGTGTCAAGGAACACAGCCTCTTTGTTATCATTTACTTTTGAAATGCATAACATAAAGGAGAAAAACTATATGCATAGGAGAAAAACTGTAGGAGGCTGGCTACATTCCAAGGGCCATTCAAAAGCAGAGGTTTGTAGTGGATTACTTATTCATTGCCCTTTATAGTACGAAATGTTAATCTCAGCAAAACACCTCCTACTAACGTAATTTATAATCCTGAAATTGTTATTTTACATTTCCAGAGTTTGCAAATATATTTTAATACCTGCCTGAGCCAGTTCCACATTGAAAGCTCTCAAGGCAAAAGCAGAGGTTCGGGATTCTGCAGGCAAGAGTAGAGAACACAGAAATCCTTCATAGTCACGCTTTCTATAAAAGGACAAACAAAAACATATCTTATGTACAGCTCTATGTAAACTGGGCACTCTATTGCTTAGCACTGGACTCCTGCTATAATAGCAGTAAGTTATAGTTCAACTTTAACTTCACAAAAATAGTAGCTTTGAAGCCTATTTTAAAATAAGGCAAACTCCTGGGGGAGGGGCGGGGGGGGGAGAAACGCAGTCTGAAATCTCAGCGCACTAGAGGAAAAATAAGCATCTCTCAGTTCTCAAGTTTTTTGGCTAAAGGCATGGAACAAGTCTGTGGCAGCACCGCAAATAGAATCCAGACTGTCTGACTTCCAGACCTCTTTTCTAAACATGAAACCATATTGCTTTAAGAGATTGTGCTTTAGAGCTTGGCAGAAGACCACCTGCTTAACCAGTAAGTTTTTGTTTAGTGGCAACTATATCCAAAGCACAAAAGCTCTCAGTCGTGCCAGCTTTGCTGCAGGTAACTTGCTGCCAATCTAGAGCGATATACCCTTGTTTGGCCACTGGGGTGTGCCATTAAGTTAAAAACAATCACAACGGAATGATTATCAATTGCAAAATCCTACCTAACTGTAACCATTAAAAACAACCGGTCGCCTATGAAAAGCTAAGTTGCTCGTTTTGAACAGTACTTTTGTGCACTCTCTGTCAGGTCCGTCACCTGATTCTTTATAACAAGAAAACTAGCGATTCCAAATTCAGCCTCAAGAGTAGAGGCGCAGGTGTTAACGTAAACACATTTATTCATTTCCATGAGATTTGCCATTCTTACACATGCTCGTATTTCTTTTGAACATAAGCTTAAAATAGCAAAAACAAACCAAAACCAAGGGTTACTATTAGGGTTGCTACTTTTAGCATCAAACAAAAAGGAAATCAGATTTAAGGGGTTTCTCACCCCTACAAGGCACAGCAGCTGACCACTGGAAAATGCTTTGAGTTTTCACAACTGTTGTGAAACCTCTTTTAGAGCCTGATGCAAATCCAGAAGCACATATAGCAAATCATGTTTGCGGATTTTAGTAGGCTTTAAGGGCACATTTAATAACAAAAAGCAGATGCGTTAAACCTCCTTCAATTAAGACACTTTTTGAAAAGTACTATCAATGCAAAACCTACTATTTTTTCCTCAAGATAGATTGCAATAATATTCAGTATTGCCTACCACGGGCAGAGTTCCCAGGTTTACAGTTACGTATTCCTACTTCTAGTTACTCACTTTGACTGGGTTATTCACACAAAGAAACACAACTACCTACAGAAAGGAAACAAATTACACAACTGAAGCAAATTACAGAAACCAAATAGCACACCAGAAAGATTTTTCTTCTCTCTAGTATTTTTTTCAGTTGCCCTAAGCTTAAAAATTAGGTGTAGCAAAAAGGAACCTTACAAAAAAAAAAATCAGAAAGAAACACGAATTTTATGCTGACAGTGCCCCCTTGGGCATAGCAGCAGAGAAGCAAATTAATTTTCTGGAACCTTCAGTTAAGCCACAGTCTGTAAAATAAAACTCTTATTGCCGTAGATCACGTTCCACCCCAGCTCTCTTCATGCGTTACACTAAGGAATGAAGAAAGGAGCGAAGAGAACTTAAGTGTGATATGGAGCATTTCAATGGTTTCCCTCCCTCTCCCTGCCCAAAGAAGGGAGAAAATGTGGTTATAACCATGACTGGATTCTCAATATAATGACAAAACTGAAAGAAATCTTGAAAAGAATTTTTTCCATATTATAAATCCCCTTAATATCATCAATTCACGAGCTTGTTTTCCAGAGTCTGCTCGCATCATAAAAGGCAAGAGGCAAAAACCATAACCACAAGGGAAACATTTTTAATCAAATAGCCTACAACTACCTTTAAGAGAGTTATTTAACAGGAAAAAAAAAAACACTAAGAGAAAGGACATCTTGAGTATTGCAAGAAGTTGCAAAAATCTACATCGTCAAAGCCCAAATCAGCTCTATTGTTCTTCCTATTGTTTTGTGGTATACCCATACTCAGGGCAGCAGAGTTGTTGATGCTTGCACAGCCTGAAGTGATTTGTTTCTATTTGAATACTAACTTCTTCGTCTTATATTTCTTAAGTGTTTTAGGCTTTTCATGCAATATATGAGCTACCATGAACAGTAGCTCCAATCAAATGATAAAAAACATGCCAAAAGCATTCTTCATTATCTTGAATGCTTGCACATGCTTTCTGACCGGTCTTTTGTTTAATGTTCTAACAAAAATAAAAAATTGTTTAACCCCAGCCATCTTAGCTTCTATACCTTGCAAGCCAACTATGATTTTCATAGTCATTTGTTACTAAAAACATTTTAACTGTGTATATTAATTGTACACGTGGTCTCTGATCTCCTAAGTAACAGCTGAATCCCAGGCAGAGTAACCAGGAAAACTACAGCTGCAACCTGAAGTTTCGTAAACTACAATGCAAACTGGTTATGCATCTGATAAGGTGTGCTGTTTGGTGCTTCACTTCAAATTTAAGATTTTCACATTTTTCCTATTAGTCTTCCCTCTTTTACCGGTTACCACCTATACCTGCCTATCTTTCGCAAGCGTTAGTTTGGAGCAATGAGATTACTGCGTTGCGCTCTTGCCGCACACGCTCTGAAGCCTTCTCCCTGCTTTTGCCCACAACCTGGGACAGCTGCATCCAAGAAGAAACTATTTCTGTCTGTAGGAAGCACTTGCTCCATTTTTCCTTTGCACCATTTAACCTGCGTGGACTAGACACCAACCAGCAGGCGTTGCACAGCTATTACAGCTCCAAAGGGAGCCGGGAAGCATCCCGTGACCCGGAAGTGCCTGAGCTGGGCTCCCGCAGCATTTGGGTTTTGACCAGAAACGGACACTCTTGCAAACACAAAGACCTCCTCTCCCTCCTGCACTCTGCTCACAGAGGTTACTTAAGCGGTCGGTCCAGCTGCTGGATTTCCTCTGCTTTCGCTCATTTTTCCAAGAGATACTTGGAAAACTTGGCTACTTCCCAACAGCCAAGAAGGCCTGATAACACCAACTATTTTTAACCGGTCATTTCAACAACCTTCCTCTCCCAAAGCACAGCCAGTGAAATGAAGCGCGCACTACTGCAGAAGGACAGCAGTGTTGTGAAAG